AACCGTGACCCGACCCGACCCGATCCAACCCATTTTTAAATCAAAATCGACCCGATCAAATATTAATAATTTAAAAAAAATTATTAACCTCATCAAATATTCAAATACATGACCACTAGTTAACTATTCAACTAATCCATGCAAAACACACCACCAACACCAAGTGCATATATTATTAACAAATATCAGAATGCTATCTACTTTGAGAGCAATTAGCAAAATTAGAGCTAGACTATTGGCAAAATTAGAATGTATGGTGGCGAAACGGGTTATCAAAGTGAAATGAATATATTGTTTGAACTTTCAACTTTTTTCAAGGATTAATTATTTCCTACAAATTGGTTTATTCGAGTCCTTTTCAAACACATATTGAAAGAACATTGAGAGCAAAACCATAGTTTTTATGATAGAAAACGTGGGTGATAGTTAATTGTAGAATTTTGAAAAAACTAAATCTAAACCGTAGGTTCAAATTGATCCTAACCATCTATTCAAAATGACTTGCCTATAAATAAGGAAGACTCATTTGTACTAAACCAAGTAGTAAAGCTCTTTCATATATTATACAAAAATTCTCTAAAAAATCAAGCATTTTCATCTCTCTAAAAATATAAAAAAGGGGGAAAATAGATGTATACGTACAGGTGGGGCCAATAATTTACAACCGAAGTATTTCTTGTAAGGTACTTGATGTATTGAACATTAGCAACTTTGATGGTAAAAGTTAAATGGTTAGGAAAAAATGAAACATTGCCCTCATTCCATGTGATATTAACAACATAATCTTTCCTAAAAAAAAGTATAATCTTCTTAAAGGGGTATAACAATTTCATTGATCTAGTCACAGAAAATATTAGACCGTCTTCAAGCCAACATCACAAACTAAAACATCAAGTAATTGCACGTTCCTGCTTCGATCGAGATAGGTCTATGTCTACATATTGCATGTAAATATAAACATATTACACGTAATTATAATATAAAGGTGAAAGTGTAAATAGTCAAGAGAACTTCCCGAATAAGGTTAAAAGTATCATTCATGTTTAAAAAAGAAGAGAAGAGAGACATATTGATTAAAAAAAGATGGCGATGTACAATGATCAATGACTTCTTTATTCGAACTTTATAAGAGGAGTATTTGTGAGGAGACAACAAACATGTGATGATTATGGTATTGACAAGCAGACTCTTAACTATGCAACTCTAATGGTACATCTCTTGACCATCGTACTCTAACCAAGGTGGATGGGCTCATGAGAAAGGTGGAGAGGTGGGTCGGTAAGAGAGGCAAAATGTTGGAAGAATATTTGTTACACTTATAAATTACGTGGCATCGACTATTTATTGGATCGTACTTATTAAACTAAATAATTTGCATTTTGGGCTCGGCCCATTTACATTTTCCTATATATAAATATATGTGAATTTCATTAACAATAAGGTATGATTTCTAACCCTATCCAAATCTTCCATCCTCTCGCACTTTCTTTTTCTCTCGTTCAAAAGTTGACTCGACCGTCGGAGTGCAAACGGTCACTGAACATTTTTCTCAACCGGGTGACCTTTGCCTCTTAACGGGGAGTTCCAATGTACAGATAATGTCTACATGGAGGGGAAGTTGAAGATATTCCGTTGGCGCATTTTTTTAAGTCAATAGATTGACACCGTATGTGAGAAACGGTACATTAACTATGTTATTACCACATCCTAAAGGCCACTGGAAAATATGGTTTTCCGATCAGGTTTCTACTGGAAATTAGCAAAGACGCAACAAATTATTGAAGAAGTCAGCCACCAAAAGAAAAATCTACCATGAAAAATGGTTATTTTTTGGCCACAAAACATATCTACTGAATGGAAGAAATAGCTTGGCAAATCGAAAGTAATTTTTGGCGGAGTTTCTCGTGTTGGATTGAAGAAAAAAGCCATGAAAATGGTTATAAAAAAATGGCCATCCACAATAAAAAGGTTTTGTCTTCATGTTTGAAACAAAAATAAAATCTCCTTTTTGGATTCAAAAATTGACTTTTGCTTTCTTGTACAACAAAAAAAACAAAGGCTTTATCCTTAAACCAATCACTTCATCTCCCTTCCCATACAAAACCAAAAAAACGGAGCCTCTGTTGACAACACCCTTCTCCAAAATGAAAGAAATTTCAAATTCCAAATAATTGCAAGAAAGAGAAACAAAGGAAGAAGAAAGTTTCTTAACAATTGAAGAATTTTCTACAGCTGTGTTGATAGGAGTTCGACATTTTTCTATAAAGGTTCATGTAGATTGGTAAGTAGCTATTGGCATACATGAGGAAAACAAGCTATCCTCATTCGAATACACCAAAAAAGGGCTTTTGCAACGGCCAAAAAA